AAAAAACATGGAACTTTGAGTCTCGAAAAAACCCACGACACGCCACAAAACTGGCCCGGATCGTAGCTAGAGAGATGTCTCTTAGAGGAAAGTAGTAGCAGCGACACACAGGCTTGTCTGCAAAGGGCCATGAAGACCAGAAAGCCCACGACACACCACGACACACCACGACACATCACACAAATTCTGAAAAATACAAACTGTGTCGTGGTGTGTCGTGGCGTGTCGTGGGTTTTCTGGGCCGCGCGCTTTTCGTGGTGTGTCGTGGGTGTGTCGCTACTACTTTTCCTCTAAGACACATCCCTCTAGCTGTGATCCGGGCCAGTTTTCTGAAAGTGTCGTGGTGTGTCGTGGCGTGTCGTGGGTTTGTTTTTCGGGGCTCAAAGTTCCATTTGTGTTGCCGAAAATTTCGGACAAGGGGCAGATGAGCAGCAGTAGCTGGTGAGGCCTAAGCTTGTGGGATGGCAGGGTACAAAGGGAATAGATGAGCAGCAGCAGCTGGTAAGAGAATCTGCCTGGTCCAAACTTGTGGGCTGACAGGATACAAATTTCAGAGGCAGTAGGTGAGCAGCAGTAGCTGGCGGGAAGTCTGTTTGGCCTAAACTGGTTGGATGGCAGGATGTAATTTTGAAGGGCAGTAGGTGAGCAGCAGTAGCTGGTGGGAAATCTCCCTGGTCTAAACTGGTGGGAAGGCAGGATACAAATTTCCAAGGCAGTAGGTGAGCAGCAGTACTGGTGGGAAATCTCCCTGGTCTAAACTGGTGGGATAACAGGGTACAAATTTCAAAGGCAGTAGGTGAGCAGCAGTAGCTGGTGGGAAACCTCTCTGGTCTAAACTGGTGGAATGGCAGGATACAAATTTCAAATGCAGTAGGTGAGCAGCAGTGGCTGGAGAGGATACAAACTTCAAAGGCAAATAGGTGAGCAGCAGTAGCTGGTGAGAAAATTTGCCTGGTGGGGTGGCAGGATGCAAATTTGAAAGGCAGTAGGTGAGCAGCAGTAGCTGGCAAGAAATCTCCCTGGTCTAAACTGGTGGGATGGCAGGATACAAATTTCAACTGCAGTAGGTGAGGGCCAGTAGCTGGCGGGAAGTCTGTTTGGCCTAAACTGGTTGGATGGCAGGATGTAATATTGAAAGGCAGTAGGTGAGCAGCAGTAGCTGGTGGGAAATATCCCTGGCCTAAACTGGTTGGATGGCAGGATGTAATTTTGAAGGGCAGTAGGTGAGCAGCAGTAGCTGGTGGGAAATCTCCCTGGTCTAAACTGGTGGGATGGCAGGATGCAAATTTGAAAGGCAGTAGGTGGGCAGCAGTACTGGTGGGAAATCTCCCTGGTCTAAACTGGTGGGATAACAGGGTACAAATTTCAAAGGCAGTAGGTGAGCAGCAGTAGCTGGTGGGAAACCTCTCTGGTCTAAACTGGTGGAATGGCAGGATACAAATTTCAAATGCAGTAGGTGAGCAGCAGTGGCTGGAGAGGATACAAACTTCAAAGGCAAATAGGTGAGCAGCAGTAGCTGGTGAGAAAATTTGCCTGGTGGGGTGGCAGGATGCAAATTTGAAAGGCAGTAGGTGAGCAGCAGTAGCTGGCAAGAAATCTCCCTGGTCTAAACTGGTGGGATGGCAGGATACAAATTTCAACTGCAGTAGGTGAGGGCCAGTAGCTGGCGGGAAGTCTGTTTGGCCTAAACTGGTTGGATGGCAGGATGTAATTTTGAAGGGCAGTAGGTGAGCAGCAGTAGCTGGTGGGAAATCTCCCTGGCCTAAACTGGTTGGATGGCAGGATGTAATTTTGAAGGGCAGTAGGTGAGCAGCAGTAGCTGGTGGGAAATCTCCCTGGTCTAAACTGGTGGGATGGCAGGATGCAAATTTGAAAGGCAGTAGGTGGGCAGCAGTAGCTGGTGAGAAATCTCCCTGGCCAAAGCTCGTGGGATGGCAGGACACAAAGGCAGTCGGTGAGCAGCAGTAGCTGGTGAGAAATTTCCCTGGTCTAAACTCGTGGTATGGCAGGACACAAAGGCAGTAGGTGAGCAGCAGTAGCTGGTGAAAAACCTCCCTGGTGTCTAAACTCGTGGAATGGCTCGAGCGGCACTGCTGCCTGCAAACATCCAAGTCTCATAATTTCTAAACGTGTATACAAGGTTTCAATGCTATTTAGCGGTTATCTGTGCAAATATATCAATAATTGCACAACATTATGTATTCTACAACTGTTGGCTTGCAAAAGCTAGGAAATCACTAAAAATATAACTGTTTTAACTGCTTTAACTGCTTTCAACCCTAAAAAATAACTGTTTTAACTGTTTTAACCGTTTTGAATTTCACGCAGCTCGTCAGCACTAAAGCAGTTATCCCAGTTAGCAACTGATGCAACTGGTGACCAACTGAATCAACTGCTGCAACCATGACTTATAACTGGTAACGAACCCTCATAGTACACCCTTGGGGGTTCCAGGAACTGCAGGGTTGTTCGATGGAGTCCTGCCACGTCCCGTCGTGTTGCTTGACATAGCATCCCGCATGTGAACAAGCCGCTTTCGCTCCAAATAATTCCTCGATGCGTCAAGGAGTGCTTTTCCGTCCCTTCCTCAGCCCGCTCATACTCATTGAGATCATGACTGAGAGGCCGAAACTTTCGAATCTGGCGGTGGAAGAGCGCTTCGAGGGTCTTCTCGTTCTGCTCATTGCCCATTCCAGCGATGACCGTGTCCCATCTCGTCATGAAGTTCTTGAGGTCCTCGTTGATGAGCTGGACAGAGAGCAAGTCCTCAAAGTCGTAAATTGCACCATGTTTGATGTTCGTGCTGAAGTGCTTGTGAATCATCAAAAGAATTTGGCGCCCCCTCGCGTAGCGTTTCTCCTTTGCTTCTTGTTCTTTGAAAATGTCGACTTGCCGCGCGAGGTCGCCCTCCAAGATGTTCGTTAACGCCGATGCCAGCTTTGCGTCAAGATGGACAAACATTCCTGAATCACGAAGGACTTCAACAGTTTGACCTGGGATCCAAGTTGCCTCAATCCACTCAAATGCCTTTTCGGGTTGATCGGAAGTAGCAACAACAGCATCCCTAACTTTGATCCTCCAATTACGGTACTGTTCGGGCTTCGGGAATCGGGGAATCTGAATTCTGTCACCCTCCTTTACACGAACGCGTTCCGCTGTCGGATCGCTCGAACTACCTAAGTGCTTCAGTAGCTTTCGTCGAAAGGATTCATCCGATGCAGTCGAAGTTGATGATGAAGATGACGAGGGAGAAGATGATGGATCTCGTCGCCGGCGTCGGCTTCGGTCCTTCTTCTTCTTCTTCTTTTTCTTTTTCTTGTCCTTGTCATTTCCACCATCACCATCATCGCCGGGCCAACCGTCTCCGGTAGCAGCATCGTCCACGGCCCCGGCGGGAACGGATCCGTCTTTGCCGTAGGGGTCGCTCCCGACCTTCGTCCAACTGTGCGAGGAAGCATTCGAAAGTCCGGGTGGAGATGCAGCCAAAGGAATTGTCGGGATAGCCAAGGGGGTAGCTGGTGCCTGCTGGACGGGAGGCGCAGGGGCCGGAGCAGGTTGAGCGGGCGGTTGCTGTTGATTCTGCATCATCTGCTCGACCATAGCCCTCAGCTCCCTGATCTGCCTCTCCTGCTCGCTGATCGTGTTCATGGCGTTTTGGTACTTTATCTCGGCTTCTCTTTCTGATTTCATGGTGTTCACACGCTGCTCCGCATTCATTTGAATCTTGCGTCTCATGGCCTCCGATTGGCTTTAAAGTCCGGCAATGATCTCACCATGCCTTGCCTCCGCCATCTACCATGGGACCGGTGTCCTGATTCACGAACTGGTTGAACTGGGCATTGTTCTGAGTAGCGTTGACCTGCTGATAGTTCGTCACCTCCTGGTTGATCGTCATCGAAGGATCGAGGTGGACGTTTGCAACATGTTGATTGAACTGATTCATGGACTGTGGCATAGGGTTTCCCCTTGCGAGATCGGTCTGGGGGTCGTACATGACGATGTCACCATGCCGATGCCGATCTGATCCAACAGGTGAAGGAGATCGAGCACCAGACCGCCCAGTCCTCCCACGGTCACTTCGAGATCGAAGCGATTCGGGGCAATTCGCGCGACTAGTCGGTTCGTGTTGCGAGGCGTCTTCGTCGCCTGCGGGCTCATCAGGTGTGGGACGCACCTCAGTATGGGGTAGTCCAGGATCGCCATCCATGGCGTACAACTCTGTACAAAGAGCCGCTTACGGCTGATAACCTATAGAACAGGTTAAACAACCGGGAAGGGTCAACAATGAACCCTGCCTGCAGCGCGCTTTTTCCTTGAGCCACGCGCAGTCGTAATGATGAGACTGCGCAAGTGAGACATTCATGCATTGGGGTTTTACATGGTTGATAAATACATCACGTTGCAAACTACAGATTCCTTTTCGAGGGGGTTGCCAATTTCTCACAAAAGGTGGCAAAAAGACCCCTCTGCCTTTTTTGCCCCCCCCCCCCCACCCCCCCCACGCAAAATGAACAGAACCCAAGGAAAACCAAGCACCTAAATACGTTTAAATACCAAAAGCTTTTGCACATGTGGTAAAGTGCAGCCTCCTGTCCAACATGGAACCTGGCGTTTCGGGGTCCTGGAAGATGCTTTTCCCTCAAACAGGACCCTCTGGTGGGTCAGGGGAGGGAGGAAGAACGTTTTTGCGATGCCAAAGTGGCTGCTTCAAATCTACGTTACCACTAAAAGGGGCCAGAGCCTCAAAAACTGCTCAAATACCGTGGAAAGGGGCCAAAACACCGTGATCACAAACACTTGCAATCTGAACGCATGTTCTTCCGCGTCACAATGTCAAACAAACAAAAAGCAAGCATTTGGGTAAGTAAGCCTCTCAGTTTCTTTTGACCCAACAAACAGTTTTGGTACCCTCCTGTCAACATGGAACTTGACGTGTGGGGGCCCTGCAAAAACAAGCTTGCCTCCACAAAAACCCAGCGATGGCCCGATTTCACCCGCTCCTCGGCCGCAGCGCCCACAGTAGCCCCTGGCAGCTGCGGGCCCTGCCGCCGCACCTCCGGCTCCGCTGGCTCTGGCTCCTCGGTCTCGCCGGAGTAGCCGGCCCTGGGATCGTACGCCTCCACCTCATCGGAAAAACCGCAAGCTGGGCTTGTCCCCTGTTTTGATTGCTTCTTAAAAAAGGGACCCAAAGGAAAACCGCAATTTTACCATTTTAGGGGGTCCTCCCCCGAAAAAAACGAAAATACAACCCAAATACACATGTGCAGCTCATGGAATTGATTTGCCTTGAAAAATGGGAGGAGTTTGAGAGACATCGAGGCGCCACGGGCTCTGGTTCCTCTGGCTCTGGCTCGACTTCCACAGGCTTGGCCGCGAAGTGCTCCTTGGCGCGCGTGAGGCACTCCTGAACAGGGTGGAATCAAGAAATTTATTCCCACTGCGATACAAGACAATCTCCTTTGTTTATATGGGGGGGTGTTAGTCCTTGGGAAGCCCTTTTTGTCATTTTGTTGTATCACAGTAGTGGATTCAGTGGATTCCATTTCCCACAGCCCTGCTCCTGAAAGATGGAGAAAAAGGACACCTTCAGCTCTGAGCTTCGGTAGGCATAACCGTTCTCCTCCTGAGACGACCAAGGGGCGCCTTGGCCGCCCAAGGGGCTGGAGTTTCGAAAAACAGGGTGTGGCACGGGTGCGGTACCCAAAATGGGCTGCCCTGGTCAATGGAAACTAGGACAGAACCCTGCGGTCTGCCGAGGGTTCGACTTTGACCTCGCCAGGCGGTTTCTTGATTCGCTGCCGGCCCATCTGTCCTGCGTGAGACGAAAGGCTTGCAGCAGGTGCCGCAGCTTCTTCCGTGCCTGGGCGACAAGTGCTGCCTTTTGGTGAGGTGATGCTTCAAGGGGAAACGGGAAACCTGTGCTCCATGGTCCAAACCACCTTTTGCTTGAAGATTGTAGGGATGGTCGTGGACGATTGTAAAATGAATTTGAGCATTTCTCAAAAGAAGCATCCCAAATCTCGCTGCCACAGCTGCCTATGCACAAGCCTTTTCACGCAAGTGATGCAAGAAAACATTCATGCTAAGCAAGACAGGCTGGCTTGCCACCTAGTCCCCACCTCTCAATGACAATGACTTTCTCGCGTCATCTTGCTTTGCCACATGTTTTGAAAAGCTACCTATCCGGGACCATCTTGCCATCTCGCTACCTAACAGTATCAGGTAGTATCAGTACACATCGAGATGTCGGTTGACTTGGTTGGCTGCTCACATGGTTCATGAAGCCATCCTTTAGCTCGTGAACAGCTTGTTTGATTTGTTTTTCCCAGAAGGCCTGCTTGTTCTGCAGGCCGTCAATCCGCACAAGCTCCCCTTCATCAATGGCCTGCACCAACTTCCGCAAGGCGAAAACACATTGGCTTGTGTGTGCGTGTGCGTGTGTCTCTCTCTGTTTTGCGGGGGCACCCAAGCAAAAGGCTGGTTTGAAGGGAAAACAACAGAACCAACACGCTCTTATCACACGTGCTCACACTTCACGCAGACTTGCTCTGGAAGACGTGTTGCGCTGAGGGCAGGGGATAACTAAATGAGGGAATTTCAACGTGCACTTTCACCCATCTTTCACCCAACTCTATTCATCGACTCAGGCCTCAAAAACCCCCACCAGCTCTTCTTCCACTGAAGCGTCCAGCTCCAATAAGGTGCCGATCCTGAGTGAGCGGAGCCGGCAGCTTCAGATTCCTCGTGAATCATGATCCCCCAAAAGGGAATTGGAACTCACCTTAAATTGGACCAAAGGGTGATGCTTCAAACCACCAAAAGGGGACATGTAGGTAAGCCTGTACGTTTTGACGCTTTGAGATTGGATTCACGCGTGCAACGCATTCAGCTGACATGCGCTTCGCATCTCGGGAACTGCTAGCATAGCCAGCTTATTCGCAAGCCAGTTGGGACGCCAAGCGAGCAGCTGCCCGAAAAGCCAGGCCGCGAAGCTTGGCAGCATGCCACGCTAAATCAACCTGGTTGAGCTGACTGGCTTCAGTTTGCTACTTACGAGGTAATCGCCATGGCAGTGCTATTGCCATGCCAGGCAAGACCACCTTGCTCTAACACTTTGCTACTTCGCAAGTAACCTCACTTCCCGAGCTGACTGGCCAAACAAAGTCTGAACTTTGATTTATCACGAACATGGTCTTTCCAACAAGCTTAAAGTCCATGAACTTAGGGAGCGAGTAACTAAGCTGTTCAGCTAGCTACTGGCTGGCTAGCTGGCCGACAAGCTGGTGGCAAGGTAGTAAATCACTTCACTGAACAGCCGAGCCAAATGAAATCATCGCCTGGCAATAATGTTTGGCCTGGACAGTCAGCTAGCAGGGCTTGGCAGAATACTTGGCAAGCTGGTTTTGTCTGTCAGCCTGAGCAGTTGGGCCGTCCAAATGACTAGTCACCTGGCGACAGCTGGGACAACGAAAAAGGCTCCGTGGAGGATTGCGCCAGCAAAGCGATCAACTCGATGCTTTCTGGTTTACCTAGTCTTAGTACTCTATCTTTAGGAAACACCCACATGGCGTAGGTCACTCCCCAAGTCTGCAAACGGCTTGGTTTTCCCAGTGTAAGGCAGCTATTGGCACCTGCCCGCTCACCGCCAGGTTCCGCGAGGTCGCGACATTCTATTACCCTCCCGGCCGAACGTTCCTTGCCATGGGAAAATGTAGCTGGGTGTTGTTTATTTTCATTTTTTAAATAGGTTTGTTGGGCCCTACAATCATGTGATTGATTTGACGCCAAGTCTCTGTCGAACCGCGTCGCCTCTCTCACAGTTCCAAGACTCCGCCCGCTCTGCACGCTTCCTGCATCGAGGCCATCATGCACAAACGACACAGAGATACCCTCCCTCACGCTCTCACGCTCCTTTACTTTGGCCTTTTGGGAGCTTCCGTGTTCGGGCGCCGCGCAGGGCTGAATCTTCAACGCAGCTTAAGATGGACTCTGCAAATCCTCGGAATCCTTTGAACTCCTAGCCAAACGCGAGTCCCAGATCATCGCTTGCTTGTGCTCAGTGCAAGCAAGCTGCCTTTCTTTCTCGGGATCCTTCCTTGGCCGAAATTTGTAGGTGCAAAACCCGAGTCACAAATTCCAGGAAAGTTCCACCTCAAAGGTGGTTGGACATGTTTATCCCCACCTAGATGGTGTCCAGCATGTCGAGTCCCTTACAACTCATGAACAAATCTCAATGCATAGCAGGGGTCTTCTTTGACTTCTTTGCTTTCTTTTCCTTCTTCTCCTTCTTCTCCTTCTTTTCCTTCTTCTCCTTCTTCTCCTTCTTCCCCTCACGGCTCACATGCACATGCGAGGTGCGAACCATGCCGCCTGAACCGGATCCAAGGGAACCGCAAGTTCTCCCCAAAACTTCCGCGACAAGAGAATGAACATTGGACACGGCGACACGACTGTTCCTCACATTGGCATGAAACAAATATCGATCCTTGGACATTCCTGTGGGTTCTTGAGGTGCCAATTCACGATCAAATGTTTTGCACCCCTATGTTTCCGCGCACCTGCCCTAAAGGTTCTCGCTCCGCCTTCTTGTCCCTCTCGCTGGAAGAGCTGCTCGCCATTGCTCAGTCCATGGCGTTCAAGAAGGTGCGAGCAAAGGCACGCTGACTGGCGTCAACTCCAAAGGGCCGGGGTGACCTAGGCATGTGGCTCTGTGTTTCATGGGCCGGACGTCTGCCGGAAGTTGAGGAAGTTCAGCGGGTAGAGGCTTCTGTGTGCCGGGAGCGAGTGGAATTCGGGTCAAGGCTTCAATTCTGAGATAAAGTGCGGCAGTTGCATGTCGGTCTCATGGCCGTACCTGTCTTGTTTATACGTACCTTCAAAGCCAACACATCGGGCAATGCTTCGAATGATGCCAAGCTGCGTATGGCACTTGTTGGTATCGTGACTTGCTTCTGCCGAATCTTGATTTAGCACTCGACAAAATCATGGCCCATGTGTGCATGCCAAACGTAGTCATGTGTGTATTGCACACACACACATACGCACACACCTGTCACACATAAGCATATGTTAAAACTATTTGCCGTAATTGTTTAAGCAAGCTATTTAGATACGTGCGTCTGCAACGCCATCCTTGCCTCTTCCTTTGACTGCCTCAGGTTCTTGCCATCTGCAAAGGACAGTTCTTCCGGGAACCTCGGATGAGCACTCCGATGACTCAAGCATGAAGGCCAGTGGCCTTCATTGGCTGCAACTTTTGGGGGACATCACATGCTCCGTGCCAAAGAAACATCCAGATAACGTACCCTTTCACCGTGAGGCGGTTACGGCTTGTGTTGGGACCTTGGAGGAATGGTTGAAGTTCCAAACTACCAGGGCCAAAAGCTTACCCACACTGCAGCAACAGGTGCCTTGTGCTTGCAACATGCATGGGCCCAGTCCACAATGTAAAGCCCCGAAAAAGTTGTTTATGGGTCTGAACTTCTGTTTGGCTCTGCAGCACTGCTGGATCCGAGCAGCGGAACGGAGACCGTGATTGACACCTCCCTCAGAGGGAAGACGCTAGTGGTTGTTGTGGTGGTCGTGGTAGTCGTGGTGGTGGTGGTAGTGGTAGTGGTGGTGGTGCTGGTGGTGGTGCTGGTGGTAATGGTTGGAACGGCTGTGGCATCGGCGTTGGTCGACGCAGCTGCCTGCCCGATCTGCTCTGTTCTCTGCCCGGTCTGCTCTGTTCTCGGCCCAGTCTGGCCGTTCATTGCTCCGGTCTGGCCGCTCACTGCTCCCGACCCGGCGTGGCCACCAGCTGGTCCTGCCATACCTGCAAAGCTGCGCCACTAGGATCTGCTGACAACACGAGCTTTGCAGGGGCCAATGATGTCAAATCTTCTCATGAGAAAGCACATACACTCAGACGGCGCTCCCCGGTTGGATTGTTTTTGATTCCCATCAAACGGGTCGCCTGTGTTGGGGTAAGCTCGATTGAGCATTGTTTCTTTCGAGGTTCAGGGCCTACGCCAGGGGCTTTTGCAGGGCAAGACTCGGGAAAGGAAGGGGTGGCTTCGCGAGAAAAAGACGCGACTTGGCGGAGTCCGCGCGAGATTCGTTCCACAAACGTCTCTGACGTGGATCAAGTCGAATCTTTATGAAAGCGCGCGAAAGGCGGTGAAGGAGAAAATTGAGCCTCTGGAAGGACATGGCTGTGCCTCAAAGTAGCCAGGGCGCGGAAGTTGGCTTTGCGGAGGCTTCATGGTTTTGCGGAGGCTTTGCAGAAACTGGCAATCATTTCTAGAAAGCCGGGTCTGAAACGAGCACTGCTCTTCCGGTAGTCTTCCGTCTTCCCACAGTTTTCCGGTTCACCTGTGTCAATGTCACAGGCTGCGCGAAAGGCTTCACGGGGCTTCACGGGGCGTCATGTGCCTTCGCGGACCTTTTGGGAGTTCCCCCCGAAGCTAAAATCCATCATGTGAGGAAAAAACGCTACTCAAAAATATCTACAATATGTGGATTGTTAAATATATAATATGTATACGCGTGTGTGTGTGTGTGTGTGCATGAATGTGTAGATATACGTATGCATACAAATAGATGTCATATAGAAGGTAAAAAACAACAAACACACTGTATTTTACAGCGTTTTCAGGCATCTGCAAGAAAGAGGCACACAGAGTAGAGTTGACACCTTCAACTAGAAGAGGGCAAACGTAGGCCCTGGGGGGGCGGTGACCATACATATATATATATATATATCTATGTATATTATAATGAGAATTATCATTTAATGTTATTGTCAGCATTTCTATTGTTATGACTAATAATATTATACTATTCTTCGACACATGCGCATAATATGCCGCAGTACTTTCACCAAGTGCCCACTCAGAATCTGTCAACTTGCCGCGCCTGGTGGGGTGGATGTGGCGGTTGTAGCCTCGGCGCAAGTGTCGAATCCTTGAATTTTCTCGAACCCTACAACCACGCCGAGGACAAACTTCAGCGACTTTACGCGCTTGAGCTGTCTGCTGGGGTTGCAATTCCCTGCCTGGCTTCTCACAGGAGCACCTGTCTCCGTCTTTGCTTTGTCCTGGCAGGTTGCCGGCGTTTCCGATGGCAGCAAATGCAACAAGATATCCTGGAAGCTCTGTCGCATTTGAACTGGGACCATGCCAAACAAGTGGTACAAGAGCAGGCAACACAAGAAACAACAGGCGGAATGCCAAAAGAGTGCTAAAACAGCAGGAGGCAGGAGCGAGGAGGAAAAACTTGATTTCTTTGATTGAATTCAAGGTGCTGGTTGAGGAGCAAATCCATGCAAGGTGACACATGCTTTGGTCCAACCATGCGCGCAGGCCCCGGGTCCAAGCGACAGCACTGTAAACCGCGACGAGCAACTGCCACAAAGGCTCTGGCGCGGCAAATTTGGCTGAAAAAGCAGGCTGGGAGTCAACCAGATTCACAGATAGTCTCTAGGGCAGCTTTCCTGTAGCCGATCATGCTAGTTTCGTTTGGTGAAGGGCAGGGGAGGCTACCGTACTCAGGTTCAAGAACAAACAGTTTAAAATCCTCAAGCATTGGTCGCTGGATTTTCCCTCCAACAAATGCTGATTCATGGCGGTTTCCATTCAACCGATCGTCACATTGAGCCACAAACACACAAAGGGGCGGTTAGCCGGGTATTTCCATCCCATCCAAAATAGGGTGAGGCTTGTGATTATTTACCAATATGTACCGGAAAAAAATCTCTCTCTCTCTCTCTCTCTCTCTCTCTCTCTCTCTCTCTCTCTCCCTGCCGTTGCATCCAAAAGGTCCCACATCGTGAGAAAACTCCCCCGTTGCTTTTCCTTTTTTGGGAACCATAAGGGCTACTAGCTGGAGGTCGCTAGCTCGATTCCCCCTCAAAGGTTGCCCACTTCATTGTGGCTTGCATTCATTGAAACGATCGCCGGAGGTTCCAACAAGGGCAATGAAGGAAACTCTGCTAAGCACAAGGGCAAAAAGGTGTGCTTCAGTGCTTCTCGTCGCCTGGTCCTCGCTTCCCTCTCTGTCCGTCACCACCATGGGGACCCATCGGTAGGCATCTACCTGAGCCACGCAATAACATTAGAGGCTGCCTTTGCGATGAGTTTCGAAGCAAAGCCAGCATGAACCTGACCCTTTCAAGCGGCCTTGGCACACCAAATTGCGCCAGGCTGCGGTTGTGGTCGCCTGCAACGGCACCTTCTCTTCTCTGTGCTTGACGAACGTCGTGTAGACAGGGTCATACCTGCAGCATGGGGGACCTGATCAAAGCCTCCATTTGAGCCATTGGCGCAAGCCATCGCCGGAAGCGCAAGCAAGACAGCGCCTTAAAAGGAACAAAATAGTCATAATCTAATTTGCTCTTACTTCCCACTTTCCCGTCACAGTAACACTTGTCCCCTGGAAAGAGAATGTTCATAGAAAGCGCCAGTAAAACTGGTTCACAGTAACTGGTTCCATGGTTGGCAGCACACTCCACATACTCGAGGCTAGCCCCGCTTGCCTGAGACTGGAGGCTTGGCAGCCTGCCCTCTTCCAGCACCTGCAGCGCTACCCGAAGGCCCAGGGTACTGCTTCGGTCGTTGATTTTAAAGGGCAAGGCTTCAAACCATAGAAGCCCGCAAAGGTTGATTTCACCTACCTGGTACAGGCAATCCGCTTTGGATTTCAACGTGCCCCTGCAAACACCTCCCCATCGCGGTGTCGCGCAGAAAAATCTGGATTGATTTGGCTATGAATTGAAATTGGTTGGTGGACATAAATCCCCACCTAAATGATGTCCACCAAAGGGTCCCTGATTAAAATTCATACCCATTTGGTTCTGGCGGTTCTGGATCCCGCTCAAGCGGATTCGATGCGTGGACACCCCCCTTCCGCCCCTGCCGCCTGTAGGAGCCATCCAGAGACCACACGCTGCAGTCGCAGTTCTCGTCCACCGTGCAACGATCCTGGCAGTCCTGGAAGGAGTTCACCTGAGGTCGGAAAGGCGCCGTGGCTCCAAGATAATGGTGCTCATTTGTTTGAGCCTCTTAGATGGACACAAAGACCGAAACCTGCGGAACCCAGCTGTTTTTAAAGTTTGAGCCACAAACGGAGCACTCGCAGTGTTGATCAAGGCATCGTCTTCACTTGGAACTCGAATTCTGTTGCGATGGCAGAAAACCCATCAAAGTGGTTGGTTTCCTTTTGGCTTCCTTGGCTAAAGAAAACCACCCAAAATCAAAATAAAAACAAGGGGTTCCGCTAGGCCCAGGTCATGGATCGGCACAAGGATGTGGTGGCAAAGATGTGGGCTCTCAACTCAATCGAGTCCTATCAGCCGTGCTTGATTTTGCAACTCATGAGATGCAATTCAGCTGAAGCAGCAACAGCCTGAGAGGCCTACCGGTGCAAAAACTTGGTGCAGGCTAGGTGTCTATGACCCGATCGATAGTCTAATGTTGGAAGCAGGACTCCCTGGATGTTGAGCTCATGTTGCCCATATGTCAGTTGATGCCTCAAGACTGTCAGTGAACAACCAACCCCAACCTGCGTTGCCAACCAAAAACGGACGTCTGCCGAGACACGATCGCTGGCTCATCGCCTGCGCTCCGAGATGGTGGCCCCAAAGCCGGGTATCGGGGTCGGCTGAGGCTGTGTTCAAACGCCCTCCCCAAGAATCTAGTTGTGACACATGGTACTTGGGAACAACATTTTGCAAAACTACACTAGAACTAAGCATGTCGCTGTAACTCCTTCTTTAAAATCTGTCCCTATCGAGGGCACCCTGGCGCAGCACCCCTGTTCAGCGCCTGGGGGAAACCATAACGGTCCTCAAAATCTCTGACCTTCATGGACATCAGAAAGCGGGATTTCCTTGCTTTGGGGAAGTCTTCCAAGAATGGAACTACCCCCTATCCAACCTGGGCCATGACCACTTCAGAATTCACTTTCAGGGGGCTCCCTTGGTGTCACCAGCCGTCGCCTCGATCGATATCTCGGGACCCCAGGGAGCTGTAGGTGTTGAAGTGCCGGTGCCTTGGCGCAGGGTCTGTCACAAGCGTGTGCATGGAGAAAAAAAATGGACCAGATGCTGCTTGAAGCCCCATGAGGAGAAGAACCACCCACCCACTTGCCTTTGCAGTGGGTTGGTGTCTGTGTGTGTGTGTGTGTGCGTGTGCGTGTGCGTGTGCGTGTGCGTGTGCGTGTGCGTGTGCGTGTGCGTGTGCGTGTGCGTGTGCGTGGGCGTGGGCGTGGGCGTGGGCGTGGGCGTGCGCGTGCGCGTGCGCGTGCGCGTGCGCGTGCGCGTGTGCGTGCGTGTGCGTGTGCGCGTGCGCGTGCGCGTGCGCGTGCGCGTGCGCGTGCGCGTGCGCTGTGTGCGCGTGCGGGTGCGCGTGCGCGTGCGCTGTGTGCGCGTGCGCTGTGTGCGCGTGCGCTGTGTGCGCGTGCGCTGTGTGCGCGTGCGCTGTGTGCGCTGTGTGCGCTGTGCGCTGTGCGCTGTGCGCTGTGCGCTGTGCGCTGTGCGCTGTGCGCTGTGCGCTGTGCGCTGGCGTGTGCGTGTGCGTGTGCGTGTGCGTGTGCGTGCGCGTGCGCGTGCGCGCGTGCGCGTGCGCGTGCGCGTGCGCGTGCGCGTGCGCGTGTGCGTGTGCGTGTGCGTGTGCGTGTGGGTGTGGGTGTGGGTGTGGGTGTGGGTGTGGGTGTGGGTGGGTGTGGGTGGGTGTGGGTGGGTGGGTGGGTGGGTGGGTGGGTGGGTGTGTGTTTGTGTGTGTGTGTGTGTGTGTGTGTGTGTGTGTGTGTGTGTGTGTGTGTGTGTGTGTTTGTGTTTGTGTTTGTGTTTGTGTTTGTGTTTGTGTGTTGTGTTTGTGTTTGTGTTTGTGTTTGTGCTTGTGTGTGTGTGTGCGTGTGTGTTCATCCGCAGTCTCGGCTTCCCTCTAATATGTGGTTTGGACTGGCGGTTTGAGGTCAAAAGGGTGGTTTCGCGCTTACCCTCTACAAGAGCAAGGGGTGAAATCCTCGAACCACAAATCCAGCCACAAACCAAGCGTTGCCTACAGTATCCAAGGTACCCACAAAAATGAAGATACAAAGAAAAGGAGTATCAAACATGTTTTGAACACAATGAGCCAAGAAGAAAACACATCGTCCAAAACGCCGAAGGGGGTTGTCTCCAAATGAGGGCTGGGGCGCCCCCTAAGAAAAAACAGCAAACACGTGCTGAGGCCGGCCCAACGCCCTCTAACCCGTGGGAAACCACAAGTGAAACCATCTGGCAAGAATGTATGGGGAGCTTGCGGATTGATTGACCCAGGGCGGCCCCCTCACCCTTCACATGGAACCCCGAAATCGCACCCCAGGTTAATGCGTAGCATGCCATCCAAATTTCCGATTCGCCCGCGACCAAAAAAAAATCCCACCAGTGCCTACGCCAACTTCCACTCTCTTACAAGCCTACGCCACTCCACAAATCAATATCGAAACGCGACAACTATACTTCGAATCTTAAACTCACTTTTTGAGTCGGTTGGCCAAACGAAACATCCATACTTCTTGTGTACCGCGAAAATCGTCAAAAAAAACCAAGTCCAACGGATTCAGACCAAGTTGACCTCAGGCGCCGGCTCCTCATACTTTGGCCTCATGGACGGGACCTTCATCAGGGTGTTCCTCAGCTGCATGGCATCCACATCGAAGTGCGTGGCTTCCCTAAGTCAAAAGCGAAGAGCCCACCGAGAAGTGGCCATGGTTCAAAACCAATGGTGGTGCACCACCCATTTTAGTCTATTTTAGTGGGGATTGGGATGTTCACTGGGGGTACGGGGTTTGGACCCATGGCCAGAAGAGTATCCGCAAAACAAGAACCCGCGCACATCACATGGAGCTTTGAGCCATTGCCACGCTTGGCCGTTCCCCTGCCTATCAAGATGGGAAGCCCCCGATCCAGATCCAGTTCATGAATGGTCATTCATGGTCTGCATGCCGGATGTAATGGATTCGAATCAAAGATGCCCAGGCCTTCGTCGGTTCCTCCCAGTCACGGCACTTTCTTTCTCAAAAAACATCATCGGAAGCAAAGGCAACTGGCCACACTTCGTCAAACGTCCTGGTCTCACATCGAAATTTTGCCTTGGCCCCAGGGTTGGGAAACCTTCGGCGTTCCCCAAACCCCACCATCCCCAACCCACGTTTGCTTCGACTTTCCAAAACACGCAACACTTCGAAACAACAAGCCAAAACACAGTACATCAAAGCTAACCGAAAGAATACGGGCCGAGGCGGGCAGCGCGGAGCGTTTACAATGAAAGTGTACAATTGAGTCAAAAAGCACTCTATGGCGCGCCATGTGCTGAGAGCCAAACGCTGACCTGTCCTTGATGAAGCTCTCGGGGTGCCTTCGGCAGCCTGAGGGTTTCAAGTCTGTGCAGAAAAGTGAATCAACAGTCGAAGGCTGACGTTTTTCCTCCATCGAAAAGCATGTTGCACCCAACACGGCCAAAACCTTGCGCTGAGGGCAAAGAAGGTAAGGCTGTGGCCCATCCATCTTTGACAGGCCCTGCGTTGCACAGCTTGAAGGCTTGGAGCAAGCTTTGAAGCACAACACCGGCTGCCCCATCCCAATCCTTGATCGATACAGCATTCAGTACTAGGCCTGTCTCAAAATAATAAGGCGGCCAAAAGATCGTGTTGGTTTCCCATCCAAAAAGGAACAAAGAACCTATACCATTCCAATCATCCTTTGCATGGCCTGAACTCGAATGGCTGGGTCGCACAATGAAAAAAAACCACACATTTTCGGGGGGCCAGCCAATCGCAAAAAACAAGGCACGCAAGGAGACATCCACGAGTCAAGATTGGGTGGCCCTAACCCGCAACCCTGAACACCGCACCAAGGAAACCAACTGGACTCCAAAGGGTAACAGTCACCACATGTTGGAAGCGGCTTGCATACTTTTCCTGGCCCTGCCCTTCGACGACTGTCAAAATTATAAAGCAAGGCGTTGGCGTAGCCAAGCGTCCTGTGGCTGCATAAGAATTAAATACGCAGATTCTCCATGGAACTGTAAGTGGAGGACGTCTTCGATCAGGTCGGCTCGCATTTGGTTTAATGCCAGAAACCGTTTCTAGGTCCTCCAGTAGAAAGGTTAGAATAAGTTGGCACCCTATGTTCTGTAGTCTATTTACCCTCCCCCAAAAAAAGGGTAAAAGGAAACTACAGGCGGAGGGTACCTCCGAAACCACGTAAACCCAGCTCTTGGACTCGCCTTGTCTCAGGCCAGTACACCACGCAATCGCAGCGGAAGTCCTGGCATGGAAGAAGTCATTCTCAAAATGCGGGTGTTCACCCTCATGTTCGGCCAAAAGAAAACCCAGTTCCATGAATCTGCGCATACCTTCGCGCATGAAGCCCGGGATTTTGTAATGGCACATTCCAAAAGGGGCCCCAACAAAGAAACTCGCGTCCCCGCCCATACCTTCGAGCAATCCGGGGTTTTGGCTGCGCGGGTCCTGATCACCTCAGATGGAAAAATCCGGGGCTGCGCCGCACACGAATCGCACGTCGCCAAAAAAAAACACGAAAAAACACCCCGCCCCCCAAAAATAACACGATATACTACTGCAGAAAGCTACATTTGGCACAGCAAACAAGAAAAACCGACCCACAAATGACGAACAGGCTTTCTTTATATTTGTGCTGTTTGAATTCCCTTCTCATTCTCGGAGATCATGTTTGGGCCGAAGCGGAAGCTTGGGCGCAAATGCACTATTCTGAATTTCGGATTGGGCAGACCGTATTTGTTCTTAGGGCATTCCCCACTTGCGATCAGGATTCGCTTTGGAGGTTTGGGTTGGTGGTTGTTTCTCATTCCCCCCTACACGACCGAGGGCTCAAATTTTGCAGACCACTCCAAACCACCAAGCAAAGGATATCTGATGAGAGGTGGCTTTTGGCAAACCCAAGTGCCACAACTCAGCCCAGGTGCAGGCATCCAGGCAGTCCCTCTGCTTGGCCACCTGCAACGCCTGGGCGTCGATGACCGCCTCACCTCCAAGTTTCGCTCGGATTTTTGTTGGGGGCCTCGGCGGGAAGCCTTCGGGAAAAAAAACCTGTGGGAAGCCATGAGAAAGGCCTCGCAAGAATGGGCAGCTAGAGTTCGCCATTACGTTTGAAGGGTCCACGCGTTTGGGGCACATCAAGGGCAAATGGCAAGGGCATCACGTGTGGGTGCCTCATGTCACTGCAAGTAATGCCGCAAAGTGAGCACATCCGAGCTATGATCAGCACGAGCCTACCAAAAACAACCCGGAAGTGAGAGGTGCAGAATCACAAGGGCGGGATTGCACCCACTTGGGCGACGCGTGACTGGAGATGCTCAGCCTCCATTTTGCCAAGACGCCATGTGGTGAAGAGGGGCTCACGCGTTCCTCGGAGTGCACATAGTACGCGTGAAATCCAGTCGCTTGCTCTCGGTTGGTGTCGTAGCCCGCCGTCTGCCAGTCCCTTAGCGTGCTGCCCATCACCCCCGCCTCCCTCCCTTCTGCATGACGTTTCTCCGCAGTCCCGGACCTTACCCTGACTGGTACGCAACTACACGAGCTTCGGGGTTGCCAACTTGGGGTTTATCCTTCTTGACCTCATCTACACTCTCGACATGGCGCTGCTGGGGTGCTTCACACCAGCATCGCCAAGACAGAAGGCTGGGGTGGCCAAGCACGACACAATGTGAATGATGCACCTATCGGCACAAGCTCTGGAAAATGCGCAAATTGCGCTTACGACCAAATATTGGCCGAATCTGCAAGTGCCTCAGGCACTTAACATTGTAACAGTGAAACGCCTCCTGCAATGCTAACGCCGCAGACGTGTGAGGCTTGAAAGAAGCCCAACAACGAGTACAAGTATCCATGCCACAAGCGCCACTTGATCTCCATTTCGCGCAGAGTATTCCAGAAATGTACCTGCAGCAATTAAAGCCACCACAAGACCTGAAATCACAAAAGATTGCAAAGAGTTCCAGAAAAGTCCAGCACGCACGGGTTTCCTCACGACTTCCGTCAAGTAAAAGATTGAATAAATGCAAAGGCCTAACCAGAAGGTGAACGCCACTGAGCTGGCAGCATATGCACCCAACATATCGACTGGGGCCCCGCCCTTCCACAGCGCCACAACATGCTCCGCTCTCAGAGCCGCAAAAGGCATCACAAGCGATAGGGGGCAAGAGAGGGGAATCCATGCTCTGTTTTCCAGCAGATCCTTGCGCAAGTCGCTTCGGACATATTCAGTGAACTGCTCTAGGCTTCCGTAGCACCGCGTGATTGCTTCGTAGATCAGCTCCTTGTCTCTCTCCATTCGAGATTCAGCCTTGTCAAGGTCGAAGCTGTCTAACTGCTCGATAAAGGTGCGCTTTTGAAGGCTGATCCTCCTCAACACGGACACGAAGCACCACGTTAGCGCGAGAACTGCAGCCCACCTCGCCGCCTCTGATACTGATGTAGGTTCCAGAGTGAACCGCGTGGGTCCTGAGATCCAGACTGCCAGGGACCCCAGAACTGCTGCAATCATGGTGATGCCAATCTCGACTATCATGTGCAAGGGCAAGAGCCGCAGTCGGCCGGAGGGATTCGCAGCGCGGAATGCCGCAAGCTCGAAAACACACCTTGGTGTGAACACCCTGCAAAAAGTGATTACATGTTCGCTAATTCTTGAGGTGTCTTCCGACAAGTTCAGCAGTCAACCAGTACCAAATAGCAACAACGGAGTCAGGAACGCGAGCCCGGAACTTGGGTTGATTGGACGTTTACACGGAAAAAGCAAAATTCAACATGCGACTTGTTGCATGTTGCAAAGAAAAAGCACCGGAAAACAAAGCCAACGAGTTGACAAGCTAAAGCCTTTGGTCCAGTAAGAGTTGCTGTCTGGGATCCGTGACAAGATGGTTTTCACCGCCAACACACCAACACGGGGGTAGGCTCGATATAAAAAGGCTATACAACCAGATAGCCCCTTACGCCAGTGACTTGCGTTTGACGCAAAGGCTGGGGCAAACAAAAACGCGCGCATGATCCTGTTCAGTGCCTGGTGAGCCTGGTGCAATTGTAAACCCAAGCAAACCCTGCTCAGTGACCAGTTCGGTAGAAAAAGAAAAAGAATTGGGGCTGCTGTGTTGGTCAGCCCAAAAGGAACGGATGGACTCCAGTTGCCGGCGCCAAAGCGCGCATCGCTTGCACCTTTGGCCCATAGAAGCGTGATGGGCTCACGGACTCGGACAAAGAGCGGTAAATGGGGCTGTCTCATAGGTGAGCTCTTGGAAAAATCGATGGCCCTGCGAAACGGGATGCAACCGATGATAATCAGGTACCATCGATTATCCCAACCAGAAGAACCTAAGGACACCTGTGGGCTATCCTCCTTGGTGGATTTGGGTACCCAAGGGCCTCCCCATGGGTCAGCAAAGCTCAAATCACTACACACACATGGCAGCCAGCACCGTGCACCACTTCGAGCGCATGAAAGGCGTGTTTGTATTTTGATGTACCTTTCTTTTTTGTAAGGGGGAGGGTGGTCCTCGAACCAAGGAGCACAAAGAGCGGCCAAGACACCAGAGCCGAGTGAACACTTTCGGGCTCCACAGGATGCAAAGCTCTGTTGACAAACTCAGGCAGTCTCCCAAACCCAAAATCCCACGATGCATGAGCTCCGGCTCAAACTGATTGATACTCGCAAAGTCCACGAAGCAGTCGCGTCTTTTGCTTGGCAAGTAAGGGCTGAGTATCAAACCAATGAACTGTGCTAGGGCACCAAAAGCCATCATCCACATCCCCAGGGGAAAGTCACCAGAAAACTGCGCGATCTCAACGTGGAGGAGGCGGGGCATAGGCAAGAAATCAAAGAGATACAGGGAGGCAGCCAAAAGTTCTGCAGCGATCCAGAAAAGGACAGAGTAGCCAAAACCGGTGTCTATGAGCAAGGCAGCATACTTCAACCTTCCAGATGTCGCCCAAGAATGCGAAAAAAACACGTCGAACTTCTTGACATCCTGCGTCATGTTCCACACACGGATTTTCTCCGCCGTGCTCATGTCGCAGGGTGGCTTTCGCCACAGGTGGCCTGCGCCACGAAGTGTGGCTTGCAAAGGAATTCCCCGAATGATGCCCTCTGATACTGCGCATCTGCGAGAGAAACTCCATGGAGAAGCAACACGGGGGAGCTCTGGCAACTCTGGCTCCTCTGGCTCAGCTGGAAGCTCCTCGCGGATATCTGTGTCCAAGGCCTGAATCGTCTCCACAGCTGGGTCCATGTCGCTCTGACAGCAAGAGCGAAAATCCATTGTACAAGACATTTCTTGTGTCCGACTCAAACTTGAAGCTTTGACTTGCCACGTTTGCGGCAGCAAAGCTAGCAAAAACGGGCTCGAGCATGTCAACGGCCCGCCAGCAAATGATGTTTGTGTGTGTGTCTGGGTGAGTGTGTGTGTGTGTGTCTTTGTGTGTGTCTCTGTGTGTGTGTGTCTCTGTGTCTGCGCGTGCAGAGCGTGCAGGTTTCCCTTTTACCTTGTACAAGAGCCAGCAGCCCCAAACCACCAATCCAATGCAATTCATCAATTAATTGCTAAGTAAGGGTTTCCTGGCTTAAGGCTTTTGCGGGGTGCGGTCGGCATGGCTGAACACTGCATGACAAGTCCCCAATTCGATGCCAAAGCGCGCAAGCGATCGGCCAACCAGTAGGGCAGAAAGTATCGCCCGGACCATCCGTACACCTCGCGAGCGCTTGGAACCGAAAGACATTGCCAGGATGTGATGCTGATTCACGCGGTATTTGTGTTCACCCCTCATGATGTGTTCCATGTTTTCCCCCTGCAAACAATACAATAAACAATTCAAGCACTTAACAATGGTTACCAAACACTTGCTGCACTGGCATGCGTCTAGGACGCGTTTGATCATATGTTCCGCCCATTCGGAAGAACAATTATGAACAATTTTGCACGTCCTCATTCTATCTCTATACATATTTATCATTCTTAAACCTTGAACGACTTTCCCATGCTTCAGCTTAGGACTGGTCTCAACACCAAAATATTCACTTTCAAGTCTCCGCATTTCATCGCGTCGCTACTTCCCCCGACAGTGGCTCCCGTCACGCCTCTTTGCCGGCCCTTTGCATTACAAAGCGCCGAGCTCAGAAAGATTTGGAAGCGGCGCGGCTTCTCAAATTCCAAGTGCGAGCCATGGAACTGTGACCATCAACCAAAGGTGAACCTCTGTGCCTACCTAGGCAGCCTCAATTTCTCGTAATTATTGGTCTTGGCAGGAAGCCTCGGAACGCCGCTTTTGATCTTTAACCTCTGCCCATTGCACCTACCTGCAAGGGGCCCCCAAGGGGCCATCGAAGGTCCTGACTGCATCCTGAGTCCCAAAACCTCGGAACACAAGGAGCCAAGTTGAATGTTGAATTTCTGGATCAGGCTGCGCGAGCTGACTTTTCGCCTTTTTGTCCTCCGAATCGCCGTGCCTGGGACTGAAGCCCTCTGTACAACGACGTCTTGGCGCCGAGCAGCTGCAAGCATGGGACGTTCACGACCTGTAGCGACGTGGCTATGAAAATTCGTCGGGCATAGGTTAGTGAACATCATTGGGGGTGGATCTGTGTGCGCCATGCATTCTTACGGGTGTCCCCAGTTTAGCTTCCGACATGTTTGTCCGCACTTATCAGCTCGAAGGTCTAACTGCTTGAAGCCAGCTGCCAGCTCTGCACAGAGATGCCCGCCTCAAAGGCATGCAAAGCCTGAAGTGTCGGGCGACATTGCCGCGACACGCTTCCAGAGCATTTGGTAACGTCTGTACCGCCAGTGGAAATCGAGAGAGGCCGGAAGAGTGGGCTGGCCCTTCAATTTCCCGGTCGAAACCCCCTACTTTCCCTTTGAGACCCACCCAACAAGCTAAAAGAAAACGGTATTAAGGAAGGACTGACCAAACGGACTTGTGAAGAACAAGGTGGGCCGCTTGTGAGGCCAAAGCCGGCACCTTCAAATCCAACGACCTGTCCCCAATATCCTCACGCTCCCTCGCACGAAATTCTGCGGTCCGACGAGCCAAGCCCGGCCCCAACGAAAAAGTCCATACACATGAGCCAGAACTTGGTGAAATCCAAAACACGATGGGCTTTCTTCAGGTTCAACTTCTTTATTGAATCCCTTTCAAAAGGTCACACAAGGTACCCCACATGTGCCCAGCGCATGTTGAACAAATCAGCGGGTCCCCGTGATATTACTTGGGGCCATCTGGGCCGCATCCATTCTTGAGCTCCAGCAATACTGAGGAGAGGAAGTGAAATCCCACCATACTAAATCAACTGGATACTCAAATCAAGAAGCCCCAGCGATTCTTCATTAAATGGAAGGTGAATTCCCGCAATACGAAGCCAAGTGAATACTCAAATCCAGTTGAAAAAGAAAGCCCCCCCGCAATACTAAATCAAATCGAAACTCAAATCACACAGTACCAAGCCAAACAATCGAAGATCAAACCAAACTGGAAACAGCAATACTTCGTCAAATGGAAACACGGACCGAAGCCCCTTTGGAATCCGTCTGCAACTCTAAAATCCTCCTTCCCAATTCAGAAGTAGTATTGCCCAACACCAACCTTCCAGAATAATCCCTTCCCCCTTTCAACAAATGACCCTATTTATAAATACTGCTTTTCCAGACTGGCTGAAACAGCCGGGTCCCCAATACTACTTTAAGAGCCCAGTTCAAAAACAATACTACACTGTCCCCAATACAAATGCATACTTGGCTGTTATTAATGTAAATATTGCATTTATGTATTGAATTCTAATTCTAAGCTTACTCTGCGCCTTTTGGTTTTGAACCGCCAAAACGAAAAAGCAACCTTGAACGGCTCTATTTTGAGGTGTTTTGTTCCTGGAAGGGGGGAGCCCGTTTGGGCGAGGACAGAAGAGGAAATCCGGTGGACCGCACAACCCTGTTAAAAATACGTTGTCCCCCAGAGAGTGTTGTTTTAAGGGGGTCCGTTTCTTATTCGGAGGAAGGGATTATTTCAGTGCCCAGATCTGCCACAAAATCTTCTAGGCCTTCTCAAACAGGGGGGGTGAATGATGTTGAAAAGGTCTGGCAAGCCACAAAAACGTTACAGGTGTTTCCCTGTCTCGTCCAAAAAACTTTGGCGTCCACAGCATCCACCGAGGCGATACTATCACTGGAGAAGAGCCGCCTGCGCGCTGGAAGCACCCAAAGAATCCCTCAAAATCTATTACCTTTCATGGACATCAGACATACACCGAACACACCGGGGATTTCCGTCTCCAACCTGGGACTTCACCTTCAGGGGGTCCCCTTGGTGTCACAAGGGGCGTCGTCTTGATTGACCCCGGGAAACTGTAGGTGTTGAAGTGCAGGTGCCTAGACGGAGGGTCTGTAACCAGAGTGGATGGACCAAACACGTTTCGGACCACATGCTGCTGAAGCCCCATGAAAGAACGTCGTTCGGACTGGTGGTTTTAGATCAAAGTGGCTTCGCGCTTAATCTTTAAATTCCCGAGCCGCCAATCCAAACCGCAAACTAAGGGCTGCCTGAAGTGTATTGAGGGTACCCACCACCAAAAAACAAGGAACTGAAGGTACCAAACATGAAACAAGTGCCAAACATGTTTGGGAAAAATACATCTTCCAAAGCGCCGAGGGAGTTTGTCTCAAAATGAGGGCTACCTGGGAGGACCCGACACGTGAAACCACCTGACAGGTGCCGCCTTTCACATGGAACCGCATCCAGGGAGGCCCTTTTTTCGGGTTCCAGCCGAGTTTCTTGCCACACCAATTGTTCCAAGCACAAGCGCGCCACATGTTTTGTCAACCCCCCCCTCCCCCTGCGATGATAGCAAGCAGAACCTAGATGCTGAGCTGAAAATTCTGCAGATATCTGCAGGTTTGACTCTGCGCAAGTGATGCAAGTGCAGCTTTGCAAGTGGACTGCGCAGCGTCGCTCGCGGTGAGACGCGGCCGGCAAGTTGCTACATGCAAATTGCTCCGCAAATTTGACCTCGAAAGGCGGGGTCGCACAATGAGGGGCCAACCAAACCCAGTAGCCATGGGTGTGTCTCAGATATCCACGATTGATTGGGCGTCCCTAACCCGTAACCCGGAACACCGCAACAAGGGAACCACTCGAACCCTGCCTCCAAACGCTAACAGTCCCGCTTCGACGACCGTACAAACAACATCAACCAAGGCGTTGGTGCCAAGTGCCAAATGTGGCTGCAAAATTAATAACCCACATCCTCCTTTATGGAACCGTTGTATTTGTACATGAAGGACATCTTCAAGCAGGTCGGCCCTGACGTTAAATGCCGGAAGGCCGTTTTGCCTCATCCCACAGTTTCATGCTCCTAGTGCGGGCAGAATCCAAAAAACCACGTCACTCTTCGGCATAGGGGTTGGGAATATGATAAGCAACCCAGCTTTGGACTCGCCTGGTCTCAGGCCAGTACACCACGCAATCGCAGCGGAAGGCCTGGACAAGAATCCGTTGAAGAATTCGTGTCAGCGGGTGTTCACCCTTCATGGTCGGCTTTCCACGCGGAAAAGCCAAGCATTCCAAAAAGGCTGGGCAGTTTTTTTCCGGGTGTGACAACATACTTCCTTTATCATGTTTGCATCATTTATTTGGCCTTTGGCCAAATCAACTTCTGCATGGTTCTTCATGTTCTCATCTTGTTACCATCGTTTTCGGCAAACGACGATTGTAGAACGCCAACAAGCTACATTTGCGCAAACAACAAGAAACACCGACCTGGTTGGTGGTTTGAAGGTTACGGGGTGGTTTCTCATTTGCCCACAGAAACCCGGGGTTCAAACCCCCAAATAACTAATCCAAACCAACAAGTAAGGGTTTTGTGATGAGAGGTGCCTTTAGAAAACTCGACATCGCAGCCCAGGTGCAGGCATCCAGTGTGTCTGCGTCACCTGCAACGCTTGGGCGTCCATGACCGTCTGCCCGAGTCTCCATAATGTCCCTCATCTTCTTCACCGATTTTTCGGGGGGCCTTCCTCCGGAAAACCGCGGCAAACCATACGTCGAGACACAAGCTTGTTGACTTAGCCCACTAGTTTTGGGGGTCGACGCATTTGGCTGATCGCACAAAGCACAAAACCCAGGGCAAATGGCTGGAATCATTCGTGCTTCATGTCACTGCAACACAGCACAAAGTGACAAATCAGCACTGGTCTACCCAAATCATCCGGAAACTAGACATGAAGAATCACAGGGCAGATCTGTGCACGTGACGCGTGACTGGAGATAGGGCGCAGCCAGGGACTGTTCTACTGTTCTGGAAGTGACCCCAGCATGACTTGAATTGGCTTCGCAATACCCGACCCCAATTTGAGAGTTACACCCACATTTGTTCCGTCCGAACTTCGGAAAATGGTCACCCCAATGAACCAAAAGTTGAAAATCCAGAAACTGGAGAAGTGAGGGGACCAGGAAGAAAACAAGGACCAGTAAAAGTCTTCGTAGGACACATTTCAATCAAGGCATCAACCGGCTCCATGAGCATGTCAAATACCAGTCCCTTAGCGATGCATCATGTTGCCCCATTGGTTGGATATGATTGGATCCCAGACTTCATCAAGACTCCCCTCTGCAATCGCAAATGCAAACAAGTAGTCCCGCCCTTACCCTTTGATTGCACTTGTGGCGCGCAATTGCACAAGCTTCGGGGTTGCTGCGGTTTTATGCTGCGATATGGTGCTTCCCACCGGCATCGCCAAAACAGAAGGTCGGCTCCTGTGCTGGTGTCCAAGCACAAAAAATACGCTTGCCGGCACCCGCACTGGAAAAGGTGCAAGTTCTGCTTACTGCGGAACATGCGAATGTACAAGTGCCTCATGCACTTGTAAGCAGTTGTAACATTGTAGCAGTGAAACGCCTCTCACTTCGAGGATCGGTATGTTGCGTCAAGTCAGCATATCCGTTACACGTGCCAAGCTATCGCCACAAACGTGTAAGGCTTAAAACAAGCCAGATGCTGAGTACACATAGCCATGCCACAACCGCGACTTGGTATCCACTTCGCGCAGTGTGTTCCAGCACGGAGCCTGCAGCGACTAGAGTCACCACAAGACATGAAATCAGAAAAGACTGCAGCGAGGCCCACAAAAGTCCAGCACGCACAGGTTTCCCAAAGACTTCCGTCAAGTAAAATACTGAATAAGTGCAAAGTCCTAACCAAACGCTGAACGCCACTGAGCTGGCAGCAACTGCACCCAGGATGTCGACTGGGGCACCGCCCTTCCACAGTGCCACAAGATACTCCGCTCTCAGAGCCGCACAAGGCATCGCAAGCGATAGGGGGCAAGAGAGGGGAATCCACACACTGCTTTCCAGCAGCTCCTTGCGCAAGTCGTTCCGGACATATTCAGTGAACTGCTCTAGGCTTCCGTAGCACCGCGTGATTGCTTCGTAGATCAGCTCCTTGTCTGTCTCCATTCGGGATTCAGCATTGTCAAGGTCGAAGCTGTCTAACTGCTCTATAAAGCTGCGCTTTTGAAGGCTAATCCTCCTCAATACGGACACAAAGCACCACATCAACACAAGGAATCCGGCCAACTTCACCGCCTCTCCGCCCTGTCCCGACGTAGGTTCTAGGGACAGCATCACGGGCCCTGAGATCCAGACCAGCAGGGACCCCAGAACTGCTGAAATCATGGTGATGCCAATCTCGACCGTCATGTACAAGGGCAAGAGCCGCAGTCGGCCAGAGGGATTGGCAGTGCGAAATGCCGCAAGCTCGAACACACACCTTGGTGGCAACGCCCTGCAAAACATGTTGGCATATTTGCTAATTAGTGAGAAGGTCGTGTCTTCCGACAAGTTGAACGGTCAAACAATACCAAATAGCAACCAAGAACGGAGCCAGTAACAGCACTCGATCTGCCACCCTGGAAGTTAGGTTTTGGTGGGATTGCCGACAGCTAAACGGATCTGAACGGCAAACAATGCAAAGCAAAGTGACGGAATACACAGGCAACAAGTTGGCTTGGGGGGGTTGCTCCCGGAAGACCTGGCCCTTGCAGTTCGAGGCACCATGCTAGAGGCATTGCCACTGCGTAGTCAAGTTTCGTTAAAGTACATATTACTCCTGAAGACATGTATGCAGCCATGCCCGCTACATCTGCCATCGTTGCGGTTGTTTTGGAGTTGCAGCATATGTAGCTTAGACGCTTACATGCAATCTCTTTGCGCGCTGGACCTGTGCTTGCTTGACTGAAACACGCGGTGTTTGGAAGTGGTCAGATCTGACTCTCATGTTTTCAACTTGCAAGATGCTTGGCATGCGTGTTGCTGGTCATCGAGTGGTTTCAGTTGCGCCGTGCTGAGCATCAAAACCCCCCGCGTTCTGTGTTTTCCAGACCATTATCAGTTTGTATCACGTATACATATTCGCCTCGCTTTCTGCCAAAGAGTTCAAACTCACCATGGAAATAGACCTCCCGCGCTCGCTCTCAGCACAGACTCATACATTGTATTTTGCAGGGCTTCCAGACAGTGTCAACCATCAGGTCATCAGATTCTCGTTGAGACGATCCAGGGCCACTAGAGACTGCTACGGCAGTGGGATCTCCTCCTCAGGGAGCACGTGCCCCGGCGACTCACCAACCCACAGTTCCCACCCCCAACCCCAGTGCGACAGGATGCTTGCCACCACCACCCCCCACACCCCACCCCTCATCCAGCACTGTTCAGTCCGGGCACCCCCCCAACAGCTAAGCCTTTCCAGTGAGGGTTGTTGGATCCCAAGATGCTTTTCGCCAAAGCCCATGTAAACACGTGGGTATGCCCTTTCTGGCTATACAAGCTGTAGATTCCCTTCGGCCAGTGGCTCGCAGTATCTAGGAATGACTGCTCGCATCTCTCAACTTCGGGCTGAGTCCAGTAATTCCTTCCCCCTACTAATGCACCCCCCCCCAAATAATAAAAAACCCGGCCAGCAAAACAATCTTTGTTATTAAGGGTCCCCTGGATCTGGAGTTCAGGTTTTCAAGGTGCCTCTTGTTCTGTGTAAGCTTGTCTGCAACTAAACCGCATCAAACGCACATTTCCGAGTAAGGAAGCGTGCTCCCGGAGCTCTGGCTCGAAAGTCGCAACTTTGTAGTACACCCGTAGTAAAGGAAACGTGCTCCCGGAGCTCTGGCTCGAAAGTCGCACCTTTGTAGTACAACCGTAGAAATTAAAGGAAACGTGCTCCCGGGTCCCCCTAATTGGGCTGGATTTGAGTACGGGCAGGAAAGTACCTACTTTAGAATTGGTTTAGTATTGGCTATTCTAGAAGTAGTATTCCCGGATTTGGGACTTCTGAAGCAATTATTTATTATTAGGGAGGCCTTTATGAATAGAGGGAAGTGATTAAACCTTACCCAGTGACTAGTTTGGTAAGGCCGTTTTGGTCAGTGAGACCCACCACAAAAAATATATTTAGAGGTAAAATCTGGTGAGTTGCGTAAAAGGTCTCCCGACGCGGAACAAAAACACATTATTTGTTTTCAAGACTGGCAAAATCGTAAAAAGGGGCTGTCTCATAGGTGACCTTGTGGAAAAAAAGATCAGACCAAACTAACCTAAAAAGGACACCAATGAGCTGTCCTCCTTTGTTTTGTGGGAAATGCGGGTACCCAGTGTCCTCCCCATCAGCCAGCATTCCTGCCGATTGCTCAAGCACGTGGCAGCCAGCACCGGCACATCACTTCGACCGCATAAGGGGTCTGCATATGCTGTTTGACTGTACTTGTTTCTTTGGGGGGGGTGTCTTCACTCCAAAAAGCATAAAAAACAGCCAAGACACCAAAGCCGAGTGAACACTTTCGGGCTCCACAGGATGCAAAGCTCTGTTGACAAACTCAGGCAGTCTCCCAAACCCAAAATCCCACGATGCATGAGCTCCGGCTCAAACTGATTGATACTCGCAAAGTCCACGAAGCAGTCGCGTCTTTTGCTTGGCAAGTAAGGGCTGAGTATCAAACCAATGAACTGTGCTAGGGCACCAAAAGCCATCATCCACATCCCCAGGGGAAAGTCACCAGAAAACTGCGCGATCTCAACGTGGAGGAGGTGGGGCATAGGCAAGAAATCAAAGAGATACAGGGAGGCAGCCAAAAGTTCTGCAGCGATCCAGAAAAGGAAAGAGTAACCAAAACCGCTGTCTATGAGCAGGGCAGCATACTTCAATCTGCCAGATGTCGCCCAAGAATGCGAAAAAAAAACGTCGAACTTCTTGACATCCTGTGTCCTGTTCCACAGACGGATTTTCTCTGCCGTGCTCATGTCACAGGGTGGCTTTCGCCACAGGTAGCCTCTGCCACGAAGTGTAGCTTGAAGAGGAATTCCCCGAATGATGCCCTCTGATACTGCGCATCTGTGAGAGAAACTCCATGGAGAAGCAAGACGGGGCATCTCTGGCGACTCTGACTCCTCTGGCTCAGCTGGAAGCTCCTCGCGGATATATGTGTCCAAGGCCTCAACTGTCTCCACAGCTGGGCCCATGTCTTTCTGACAGCAAGAGCGAAAATCCATTGCGCAAGACATTCCTTGCGTGCGACTCAAACGTAAAACTTTGACGCGCCGCGTTTGCGGCAGCAAAGCTAGAAATAACGGGCTCGAGCACGTGGCGGCCAGCAAATGATGTGTGTGAGTGGGTGTCTCTGTGTCTGTGCGTCTCTTTATTCTTTGTGTGTGTGTGTCTCTTTCTCTCGCTCTCTCTGCGTCTGGGGGTGCTTTCCCATTTTACAAGAGCAAGAGGGAACCCGCAAACCTGCCAGTCCCATTTCAATTCACCATTTTGAGTGCCAGTCAAGGCTACTTGACTGGAAGTCCTGCAACACCTACGGTCCCGTGGTGAGAAATCTTGACCCATACCTGCTTACGGCTTTTGAAGGGTCCGTCGGCATGGCTCATATGACAATTCCCTGGTTAACCAGTAGGGCAGAAAGTATCGCCCGGACCATCCGTACACCTCACACGCGCGGAATTGAACTGTCCCACTAGGTGATGCTGATTTACATGGTATGTATGACCACCTCTCTTGATGGCTGGTTTTCCGCGGCAAACATTACTAACATGAATACCCACATAGCAATCATAGCAATGGTTTCCAGACACTTGATGTGGCATGGCATGCGCCTATGACCTTTTTGATCCTGGTTTCTTCCTATTTGGGAGAACAATGATGCACGTGCTCATTCTATCTCATTCTTAAACCTTGAACAACTTTCCCATGCTTCGGCTAACGACTGATCCAAACACCAACATATTCACTTCCAAGTCTCCGGATGTCATCACATGAGCCGTGCCAAATACTCTTGTGTAAAAAGCGGTCCTATAAACTTGCTTTCGCGGACCCTTTCGCGATGCTTTCGCGACCCCATGTTTTGCTTTCGCGGGCTTTGGTTTCTTTAGAATTGCTTTCGCGACGCTTTCGCGGCGGAGCGTCACACAGCATGCAGGCTTTCGCGGGTCTTTCGCGGCGGGACTTTGTTTGGTTACTTTCGCGATAAGCTTTCGCAAGCTTTCGCGGCCTGCGTTTTGGCTTTCACGGGGATTCTATAGGACACCCCCCTTTACTACTTTGTATTGTCAGGGTTTCTGGCGCTGCTCACATCGCTACTTCCCTGCTTCCCCCGCCGGCTCCGGTCAAAGAAAGCTGGCGCCTCTTTGTCGGCCCTTTGCATTGCAAATTGCGCCGAGCTCAGAAAGACTTGAAGCTGCGGCGCAATGCAAATTCCAAGTGTGAGCCATGGTTCGTGGAACCGTGACCATCCCTGGTAACCAAAAGTGGGGCTCTTCATGCCTGTGAACAAGGTATGAGGAAGCCTGCCAAATTCTCGCACATGGAATCACGCCTGGTATGCTGATATGCTGATACGTGCTATGCCCACTCAGTGACTGCAACCGATTCCGCATGCAACCACTTTGACCGACCCAGACTTGGCCATACGCGGACTGCTCCAAAAGCCGAGTCCGAAAACGAGAATCTGCATCTGGTCAAAATGATTTCTGTCTCAGGCTGCACACACGACGACAGACTTTTGCCTTTCACGCCGAATCGCAGGCGCTCTGTACAACCTCTTGGCACCGAGCATAAGCTGCAAGCCGGCCTCGGACGTACGCGACCTTGTGGTAGCAGAACCTGGCTATGAAAATTAATCGGACATGGAATGGTGGACATCATTGCTTGGGGCCATGCATCTTTGGAGAGTGTCCCCGATTTACCTCCCGACATGTCCTACACGTGTGTGGGCACTTCTCAGCTTGAAGGGCCGCGGCTTCGACGCGTGACACGTGAAGTCCAACTGCTTGAAGCCAGCTCTGCACATGAGATTCATGCAAAGCCTGAAGCGTCGGGCGACATTGCCGCAATACGCTTCCAGAGCATTAGGCCCCGTCTGTAAAGCCAGTGGATACCAGAGAGAGGCCGGAGCCAATCTAAACTGAGGAGTGGACTGGCCCTTCAGTGTCCCTGTCAAAAAACCTTACTTTCCCTTTGAGACCCACCCAACAAGTTGGTAGCTCTACAAGCAGTCGGTCTTAAGGAAGGACTGGCCAAGGAAGGACTGGCCAAACGGACATGTGAAGAACAGGCGGGGCTGCTGATGGGACCAAAGCTGGCACCTTCAAATCCAAAGGCGTGGCATGAGCCCCAAGGCTGCGCTACACACCTCGCAGAAAAATGGGAACGCTGGGCGCGGCATGTGGCGGACATCATTGAGGGGATGCATGTCCAACCACTTGAGTTCGGTGGTTCCCCTATTGAAATGCCATAGCCAGCTCAAGCTCCGCTGCCTGCTTGCAATGGCCAGCCCGACCAGTGGCCGGTGAAAAGCGGGTTTGGTGGCCAGGTGGCGTGGCCTGGTGGTGGGGGGGGAGGGCTCATCGCAACACAACCTCAGAGTTGCTTCGACGCAGCGGGACTTCAGGCCTAGGTGAGCACTGGCTGGGCCATACCCTGCAAAACACCTTTGAGCAACCGTGCGGTTTGCCTTTAAAGGCGCTGTTTTTTTGACATTCTGCCAAGCCCTGCTTACAATTATCAAGTCCTCAGCTGGGCTGGAAAAATGCCGTGGACCACTCTTTTAATTTTATACCCTGGTGTCGGTTCGTATCGCTTTAAGCTGCAACTTGCCAGCGCAAGTGTAGTGTGCTAAGTACAGCTTGGCAGCTCCCCGGCTCGAAAGTCACAACTTTTCAGTACTGCATGTAACACACACACACAAAGTACATGTTGGCAGCTCAAGGGCAGCTGGGTTGGATTCGGCATGGAAGCGAATGAGTTGGGCTTGGTTTGCGACAACAACTTGGACCTGATGCGTGTCTTTCTGGCTTTTACGGGTCTCGCTTCTCAAACCGGTTTACAGTGTTCCGGGCCTGCAAAGAACGTTAGGGGGCGAGCTCTTGCATAACGAAAAGGTGCGGGGTGTCGTTTTCGATCCAGCTGAACTCTGCATGCCAAGGCCTTCATCTACCCGCAAGCGGGCCTGGAAAGTGAAGCTTCACCTTCCGGGACCCGAATAATAAGCTCAGGTGATATCCCCAACAGCATGCGGTGCTCTTTTTACACCCCAGCCTCGCAGAACCTGGTGGAACCCTGGTGGAAATGTGGTGGTGGAACCCTGGTAGAACCTTACCTCAGGGCCGCCCCGGACCAGCCCGGAACCTATCTGGGCTGAGACCCCAAAGCTTTCAGCTGTTGGGGAATAATTCGTCACCAAAACCCAAGCTGAAGCGTTTCACCGAGCGCCGCCGTAAAACAAAAGGACAAAAATCCGACGCGCGCGGCTCTTCGGGCTTGGGTTTGGGGGTCCCGGCTCCAGAACCTCCACTTCCACGAAGGTGTTCCGAACCTGGGAAGTGCCATGGGTTGGATTTTTTACCCCGAAAGGCGTCTCGAAATCGCAACTCCCAAAATGACGCCTCTCCAGGGGCTTCCCCATTCTTTTACACCATCGTTCTTTTCAATAGCCAGCTGTTGTCCTTGGGCTTCTGGAGGTATAGAAAGAAGGATCCCTGGAAAGAACTTCGTCCCGAGAGGAAGGTGCCTGGGACCCTGGGAGCTGGAGCGAGAAGCGCGAGGGACTTGTTGGCCATGGTCATACTGCCCTGCGAATGGATGTAAAAGTTCTGCTATGATTCCAGGACCTAAACTAACGGATCTTCAAGAAAAGGACCTACATCGTGCGCTCGTTTTGCCCCAGGTGAGTTTTTGGCCCGTGGATATGACATCAGAACCGCCCGTGTTGGAGGGTCAAACTCAAGTTCACTCGCAATTAATCGTGGCGTAGCATTGGCTGGTCAGTACGAATCATCCTTCCGCATCTCCTTCCTCCAAGTGATAAGGTTCGTGAAGCTTTCCTAACGTCCAGAAGCTGAACACTCCGTCAATCCGAATTACTCACCGGATCTTGTGGCTCAGAAATTGCCAGATGTTGAACTGCTTTCGGGCCCGGAAATGGCAGCAAAACCCCATTTAGATGCCGACCGAAACGTGCAAAGACCTTGGCTGCCCTAACAGCCCTGCCCATTTCACTGGAGAAACGCACATACTTGGTGCCCGCCCTAAGTCAAAGCAGGGGACCGGAAGTCGCAGCAGGCACCCCAACCGCGCATGGGGCACGCATAAAACCGAAAGTCACAGCAGGGCGCCGAAAGTCAGAGCACGTGGTGCAAATCCGCATGGCACATCGCATTTCAAAGTGCAACATTGGAATGTCTGAAACCTTCAAAACCATGCGTGTGATGGTTCAAAGTGCAGTTTCTGCGCGCCGAAAGTTAGAGCACGCGGTGCAAATCCGCATGGCACATCGCATTTCAAAGTGCAACATTGGAATGTCTGAAACCTTCAAAACCATGCGTGTGATGGTTCAAAGTGCAGTTTCTGCGCGCCGAAAGTTAGAGCACGCGGTGCAAATCCGCATGGCACATCGCATTTCAAAGTGCAACATTGGAATGTCTGAAGCCTTCAAAACCATGCGTGTGATGGTTCAAAGTGCAGTTTCTGCGCGCCGAAAGTTAGAGCACGTGGTGCAAATCCGCATGGCACATCGCATGTCAAAGTGCAACATTAGAATGTCTGAAACCTTCAAAACCATGTGTGTGATGGTTCAAAATGCAGCTTCTGCGCGCCGAAAGTCAGAGCACGTGGTGCCAATCCGCATCGCGCATCGCATTTCAAAGTGCAACATTGGAATGTCTGAAACCTCCAAAACCATGCGTGCGATGGCTCAAAGTGCAGTTTCTGCGCGCCGAAAGTCAGAACACGCGATGCAAATCCGCATGGTGCATCGCATGTCAAAGTGCAACATTGGAATGTCTGAAACCTTCAAAACCATGCGTGTGATCATCAAGGTTGAAATGGGCATAGTCCATGATCAGTGGTCTTTCTTTCGACACAGGATTGCAATGGCACATCGCAACAAAAATCAAAGGAAATAGCTTCAAAGAAGGCCTAACGAATCATATGTCTCGTTTGGGGTTTGGTCTGGGGGTCAGCGGGGGGAAACTTTGACAGAGCCGCGCATTTTACTTCTTCTCAGGAAAATCTATCTTGAACATGGCTTCCAGGCGAGGTCTAGGCGAGGTCCAGGCGAGGTCCAGGCGAGGTCCAAATGGT